CCACGCCGAGTAGTTGATGCCCGTCGCGGGGGGTATGAACAGCAAGCCGTTGAGGATCACGGGCGTCGACAAATACCTCACCCAGCTCGTCGGGTACCGGCGCTGCCACAGCCAGAAGGGCACGGGAAGGAACGCGCCGATGATGACGGCATAGATCTGGGGGTAGTAGATCGATCCCGGGCCGAACTGGCGCGAAGGGCCGATGAGTCCCCAGATGGCGGACGCGGTGAAGTAGACCTTGTTGTGCGGGCAGGTGAGGGACGAAGCCTGATCCGGCGAGCAGATGTCGGGCACGTTCGTGAAGAGCCATTCCTTCACGCCGACCTGGACGAAGGCGGCGAGGACGGTCGCGACGAGCTGGACTATGAAAGTCGCTCGCGGAGGGACCTTGACGTAGTGTCCGAGCTTGAGGTCCTGGACGAAGTCGGTCGCCTCGTTCAGCGTCTGGACCGAGTAGGCCTTGAAGATCTGTGAAACCCGCTTGTCAGAATGCAAGTTCCCAGAGAAGCGAAAGCGTCAAAGGACACCGACCATGTTCGCACGCGGGTTCCCGGGGAGTAGCGTGCCCGGGATGATCTGCGCCAGCAGATTGAGCGTGATGCCTTGACCGGTCATCGCGAAGATGAATCCACTCGGGAGCACGTAGACCACGGGTAACAGCACCGCCAGCACCAAACTCCACACGGGCACGCTCGTATGCCAGACCTCGACGGCGACGACCGCGAGCGCGAAGAAAAACACGAACGCGGCGCCGTACCACCAGTCGGGCACCTCCGGGTAATTGCGCATGAGCTTCGCGTGGATGTCGTCCTTCTCGACCGAGATGCGCTTGACGCCGTTGAGGAGCGAATGGCCGTGGTAGAGCAACGTGTGCACGATGACGCACGTCATGAGCGCGAACGCGGCGAGGTAGGTGATCGCGTAAGAGGCCGGAAGGTAAAGCGGCGAGTACTCGTCGTACGCGGTCCGATTAAAGGTGTCGTCCGTCTGGAGCACGCGCGTGACGTTGTACGTGTTCCCGAAGCGGTCGTACGGGTCGTTGGCGGAGATGGGGAAGTAGGACAGCTTCCATACGTTGGTGTAGTAGAAGATCGGGGCGAGGAACCAGTAGAAGAACACAAAGCCGCCGAAGATGTGCACCTCCGCCCACCAGGGGACCATAAGCGGCGAGCCGATCCAGGAGATCTGCGTCCAGTCGAAGGTGAGGAAGGACATGCCGAGCCCGGACGAGACGCCGAAGAGCTGGTTCACGGGCACGTTATTGGGCCAAATCCAGCATACCCAGCTGAAGACGGAGAGCGCTTGGAACAGGAAGCCTACGAGGGAAAGGAAAAAAGTGAGCTTCCCCGCCACGAGCCAAAGGCATGAATTCCGTTACCTGGCAGGAAGAAGAAGAAGAAACTCCCGGTCATGACCCACATGAAGTACTTGTACCTCGTGAGCCCGCCAGTCGCCTCGTCGTCTTCCGCGTGCAGCGTGTTCAACAACGTGCATGCCACCAGGTTTGCGGGCCAGACCATGCTCGCGGGCCAGACAAGGAACCTCCTGCACAACCCCGCCAGCCCAAACCCGGTCAACTGCGTCGCGAGCACCAGCACGAGGTTGAACCAGTAGTCGCTCCGGATGTGATAAAACTGTTCGGAGACGACGATGACGTTGAGCGCGTAAGGGGGCGAGACGGCGACGTTGCTCATGATGTAGACTAAGACGTGCTCCTTGATGTTCCACGGACCGGGGTTGAGCGAGAACTCGTAGGAGCCGAGCCACTTGGGGAGGCGGTAGGTCGTGATCGGGAGCGCGTACGCGCAGAGCTTGCCGGCGGGGTAGGAGAGCAGGAGGAGGACGAAGGGGACGACGGACGGCGCGGGCTGGCGGAAGTTGAAGAAGACGTTCATCGCGGCGGAGACGATGCAGAGCACGAGGCCGATGATCCACATCCGGAGCGTCATCGCGGGCATGTCGGGGTCGTCGATGTTCGACACGGACGCGCGGACCTCGGGGTAGGGCGAATCTTCCTCGTCGACGGTGTCAAAATCAAAGTCCATCCTGAGCGAGAAAAAAAAGGGCGCAAAATCGGAGTCGGATCGTCAGCAATTTGTCTACGAATTCGTGACCAGAGGGAAAAGCGAGGAACGCACTTGATGGATCCCTCCGACTCGAGCATGCTCGGCGTCGTCATCGCGAACGAGGTCGTTTCCCCGAGCGACGGCTCTCCGCGTTTGTGCGTCGAATCCACGTCCGTGAGGTCCATCTCGAGCTCGGCGCGTTCCTTATCCAGCGACGTCGACGGCTGTCCGATCCCATTCCCGGTCCCGGTCCCGCTTCCAGGAAGCGAGACGTGCACCTCCTTCGAGCTGATCGCGCTCCCGCGCGAGATGCTGGGCCGCGCGGCGGTGCTGGGCCGCGTGTCGGGCGCGTTGAGCCGGCGGAGACGGTACGGGTCGTCGTCGTGGGAGCCCGTCGAGGGCGGCGTCTCGGCTGGCGGGTGCTCGCGCGGGGTCGGCGGGGCGTGGTAGAAGGGCGAGGAGGGCGAGTGCGGCGAGACGGGCGGGTAGAACGAGCTCGGCGGGGGTGCGGTGGTTGTGGGGGGATAGGAGTCGTCCGTCGGCGTCGTTGCCGTCTGAGGGTATGTGTGCGCAAAGTCGGGCGAAGCGGGGTAGGGCTGGTGCGGTGATGGAGGGTATGGGTGCGCGGAAAAAGGGTCGGTATGGTGTAGGAGGGTGTGCTGGGAGGAGAGCGAGGATTGCTGCTGTCGTTCCTGCTGCTGCTCGGCGGTGGTGGGGGGTAGATAGGCAAAGACATCCTCGGGCTCGCTCTCGTCGTCCTCGTCGTCGTCTTCCATAGAGTACTCGGCGGTATAGCCGGTATACTGCGGGCCGTAGCTGAGATGGTCGCCGGCGTCGGGGCTGTAGTAGGGGTCGCCGCGGCCGGCGTGGGTGGAGGGGCGGGCGCCCTTGGAGGTGAACGGGCGGTCGTCCGCCGCAGAGGACGTCGGGCGCGGCATGACGGCGTCGGCAGGGCGGCGGCGGGGAGGAGGAGCAAGAGGGAGGGGAGCGATATCGAGGGAAGGCGGTCCTGGCGCTGGGACTGAGGAGGGCGAGGCCAGCCGTCGTCCAGTGGGAGCGAGCACTGATTGTGCCTGGGCCCCGTCCCACACCGCACAGCCACACTCTCTTGCTCGTTCCGCCGCAGCAGCGAAAATCGGTGCGTTGCGGTCCGTCCGTGGGTGGCCGTTCGCTCGAACAGGTAAGTATTTCCTCGGACGAGAGGCCGGAAGGTGGTAGGGAATAAAACACCAAGTCACGACTTGGCTGCAGGCTGCGACACACGTCCGCGATAGAGGCCGCGGGAGGAGTAGGTATTTATTGAGATCGGCAAGCCCGCGCCGCGTGTCGTCGCTATGAATGCGTCCGCCTAAACCAGCACATACACACCAGCTGCTTCCGCCGGCCTCCCTTCCCAGCCTGGCCGCAAGCCTCACGCCTTCGTACATAGACACCGTCCTTGCAAGCGCACACAGAAAGACGCAGGCAGGACGCAGGCCGACATCGCTTGGCCTCGCGCCCCGGGCATACGTCAATCGGGGTGCCTGGTCCCTCTCATTAATTGAGCGAGATGACCGGTCCCTTGAGCTGTTACGGCACGACTGCAGCTCGTGCCCGGCCCGCAAACGCTACCTATAGCGTAGCGCCAACCCAAGGCGTGCGCTCGAATACAGCATGTTACGCCGCGCGCTAGCCAGGCGTACCAGCACTTGCCCCAAAACCGACGCCGAGATCACACACATTATCAGAGCAATCAACGACAGAAACAGAAACAGGCACTCGGAAATGTCTTAGGCTGCGTTTGGCGACACCTGATTCTGTCTGATTCATGACCTGATTTGACTTTTGTTGCACCAAAAAGTCAAGCCCCTATCTCAATATGTTTATTACATCTCATGGACTTGCCCAGTATGGTAGGTTGACTCGGTCAAATCATCTGATTCTTGCAGAGTCAAGTGTAACCAAACGCAGCCTTATCAAGTCCCCAATAATGGCGCAACATCAAGTCTCTTCGACAGCCCTTCCTGTCAGTTGAACAAGAACGTGAACCCAATCTCACCCCCACGTCAAAAACCCAACCCTCCGTTTGGCATCGTCTGCTTGTTTATCTCCATCAGGCGCCTTCTCTACTGCCCTTTCATCGATGTCATGATCATGTGCAGTACCGTTTACCGGCGTTAGCACGGCGTATTACTACGAGTTGCGACATACCATTCGGATGGCGCATGCTAACTGGGTTCGAATGCCTTTCATCCCGAGTCTGAAGATGCACCGTCGATGCGGACGTGCCTGGAGGCTTGCCATCCAAGTTGCCAACCTACTTATGCAGTGTACCACTTGAGCCTCCCGACCTCGGCCCCCAGCTGTGACTGTCTCATCTCGCTCCACCCTGTCACTGACCCCCGACATGCGAAACGAACGACATCTCTCGACGTCCAACGTCCGACGCCCTGGAAAACCACCGCTGGCGTGTACATATCCGCGTAACGCCCCTCAGAACTTGGAGTCCCACTCCAAAAACTCCTCCCAATCGAGTCAACGCATATCCCCAGCTCGGCACCTCGAAATCGATCAATTCACGACGCATCTACCCACCCCAACCTCAAAAAAAATCGTCCCTCTTGCCGCAACCGCTCAATCGATTCGATGTCTCAGACCACTCAAATCTTGCCAAGACCGGGACCCCCTATTTCACGCATACGTTCACCCTAAACTTTCCAGTTTTCGCCCGGCTTGACCTGGCTTTGACGCTGGTGACGCATCCGTGCAACCACGTTATCACGGTACAACGAAAACCCACTGTGCCGGCCGACGGTGACGCTTCAGGATCTCTCTGCTTGCGATGAGTCAAAGGTTGTTAGATGACGACGACGGATCGCGGCAAGCCGCCACCGCCGCGGAAGAGCGTGCACATCATAGTACAGTTCCAACAACCTGAAGTGCCCGTCCTTTTTGACTTTTTCGCAGATCCCCGGCCCTTAAGTTAAAAGCATCTCCGGGAAAGCGACCAGCAGAAAAGGAGGGCGTGCCTGGCGCCGGAGACTGCCTTGATCGCCGCACGCGCGCCAACCGTGACCGGCCTGCCTCATCCGTCCGACGAGGTCCCGCCTCTGCCGGAACTTCTCGCGACGCTGCCTTGTTCGCCCGCCCGACCGCGCCTTCGCCCACATCCGGGGCTTGTTCGTCATCTCAAGATCTCCTCGGCGTGTCGCAATGTCGAACGTTGTCATCCATCGTTTTGGAGTATCTTGCTGCTCTCGCCGAGATCTTGGCCCCAGGTCTTCCATCCCGACCTCTTCGAACGATGGTCTCGATGAGTGATACTCTACTACCGTGGTGACGTTATGTGTATACCGATCGTGACCGATGCACGCGCCCGATCCTTTGCGAGTCTGAAACGGTGACCGTTGCATCCTGAAAGTATTAGGAAACGACGTCACCACGTCAACGCCCTATCCTCCGAATGCCTCCTCGTCGGAATCGTCGCGCACGTGGCCGGTGGAAAAGCGAGGCTCGAAGACGTCCAGGAACGGCAGTCGTCGAGATTCGTAAACAAAAAGCCTTCACAACTTTGAAGCGACTCCTCGGTCGACGCGGCCTTGGGAATCGGCGGTCGACTCCTCGTCACCTTTTCACGAGCGCATGCACCAACCGGCCGCGGAGAAGACGCAAGTAGGATGAGGAGGGGTCGCCTGCGCTTCACGTTCGCCAGCGCCACCCCGGACGTCCTTCAGAGCCAGACAGAATCACTCGTATCCCGGGGGCCTGAAGGACGCGATGCGACACAGGACGGCGTTACATCAAGAGATCGCCGCAGGAGACCGCGTCCCCTCGAGAACCGCCGTCATCGGTTCGAAGAGGGTTCAAGATCCATTCCGTCCATTACTCACACCCACGTTACATTACATCGACGTGCCCCAAAGACCGCCGTCCAAACACGGCAGAATAAGTTAATTCATCTCGAACACATCGATGCACCCGATGCGCGCCTTAGTAGTCCCGGCTCCTAGGAAACGTCGGTCTTCGTCAGAACTGCGGATCATCCGACAACCACCATCCGGTAGTAGGCTGCACACTCACCAGATCGTGCCGCGCTTTCCCGACGGCGCTTTCGCCGCGGTCTCGTTGCCTTTCACGGCCGTGATCTTGACCACGTGCGCGGTCGAGGTGGAGGATGCGGTGGCGGACGTGGACAAGGAAGAGGAAGAGGAAGCGTCGTCCGACGTCGAGTCAGTATCGTCCCCGTCGCCCGTGGGCTCTGAGTCGTCCGCGGACGCCGTCGCGGTCGCGGTGTCGTCCGAGTCGTCAGTCGCCGTCGTGGTGTCGTCGCCGTCGTCGCCGCTGTCCCCGCCATCGGTCGCATCGGCGGAGTCCGCCGTGGACGTCGAAGTGGCCGTACCGTCCGGATCGTCGGTGCCAGTAGCTGTGGCATCCGAGTCGTCTCCGTCATCGGAACCGGTGTCGTCGCCATTGTCCGCGGAAGTGTCGTCGCCGTTGTCTGAGGAGGTGTCGTCGCCGTTGTCCGAAGAAGTGTCGTCGCCTGCGTCCGAGCTGTTGTCGTCTCCAGTGCCATCATCGCCGGTGTCCGTCGAATCCGTCGAATCGATGGAATCCGTGCTGTCCGTTCCATCAATATCGTCCGTCGAATCGGTTTCGTCTGTAGAGTCGGTCTCGTCCGTGGCATCGGTGCCGCTCGTGGACGTGGTACCGGATTGCTTGTTCCCGAAGATCTGCAACCCCACGATCGCTCAACACAGTAATCCAGGCGTGAAGAAAGGGGGGCCGACCTTGTTGAGACCCTTGCTGATCACGTCGCTGCCCAGCTCGGCGATCTCGGGCTCGGCGAACTGGAACGCGTCGCCGAGGACGGTCCCGAGGGCGCTGCCGAGGCCCTTGCGCCGCTGCAGCGTGCCGGTCGAGTCGTCGGCGTCGGTCGACGACCCGCCCTCGACCTTTTGCAGCAGCTTGCCGCCCAGCTTTTCGGCCTCGGGCAGGAGGAGGTCCTCCGCGGCGTCGACCTCGAACGGGACGAGGAAGCCCTGGCGCTTGGCCATCAGAGCACTGTCAAGCCGGCTGTGACACGGTCAGCAACACAGCCGACACTGAATGTAGCGATGCAACGCACGGGGCGGCGATGGGTGCGCCGATGCTAGGAGCGATGACGCTCAATGCGACCAGAGCGGACAGGGAGGCGAAGGTGGCGCGCATTTCGAAGATTATGGCGGACTAAAGTGCGAAGAGGATTGAAGGATGTGCACGAAAATGAACTAAATGCGTTGTTTGGTTAGCCAAATTCCCTCGCCGATTTCTTCGTGGACTTACAGCTCCTGCCGGAGGAGTTCGAACGAGGTAAAGACGAAACGAAAGTGCGAGAGGTGGATCGAAGGACGAGCGCTGCTCGAGAATTATTTCTCGGTACCCTCTTCGGTTATATACTTCCTCATCTCCATTCTTCGCCGACCCGGCAAGTTTTCAGGTAATGCAGTACGAATGGTGCACAGCGTCGCTGATGCGACACGGTTCCGTCGTCACCAATATCATCCAATTTGCCGTAGAGATGTATCGAATTCTGGATTTTGTGACAAAAGCCCTTCTCGCTCGGGGTTCCGGGAGATCTGCGTTTCACAGCGTGATCGTCGCATGATACTGCTTTACATCAAGACGCGCCAGGATGTTTGAGTTCAAGCGACTGTCTGTGTAAATGGAATTAGCGATCAAGGTATGGCCCTTCCAGTCCTGTTTGCTTTGGATGCTTCGCTCTGGGCTTCGCCACGCAGGTATCGTTCATAGATTTCCACATAATGCTCCTTATCCTGTGATGATCACCTCGGCCAAAGAGCTGCAAGCGAGACTTACGCTCTGGGTTTTGAGGACGGTCTCCCTTGTCTCCAGGAAGTTTGCGTACTCCTCCCAGCCTTCGCCCATGGACTGCCTGCTGAATCCCCGGTTTTCGATGAGGATGTAGTCCCGTACGATGCAGGGCGTGATGGCGACGTCTACAAGGCTGAACTGCTCGCCGAGCAAGTACGGGCCTTTGACCACGGGTGGAGGGTCATGGAACGGTGATTCCGGTGCCTGCGTGGTCGATGTCAACACCGCACGAGGCCAGGAGTTGATGTCAGCAGTGAAATGTTATGCGTCTCCCGCTTATGGGGTTTTCAGGTATCATCAGGATGTCCTAGATATACCGCACATTGCAACCCCCTCGGATTGACTGAGCTTCATATATTGCACGATTCTGTAAACAAAACAGCAGAGCAACATAGAGCCCCGGGGCATGAAACATCAGGGCATGAAAACACAACGTTCATTTTTCATAGAGCATCATATTAATCAATGTTGAGTACCGGAAGCAGCTGCCTGAGCTCCTCCAAGGGAACGTACTTCTTGCCCGAGCCATTCTGGGCATGCAGCTCGTATACGGGATCGAAATCCTCAGTAGCGGTAAGGCAGGCGACTACCTCGTATATGGTCCCACCGATCGGCACTTGCTGACCGACAGCGCGCCTCAGCCGAGAAAGAGCCGATTGGCCAGGTGAGGGTGCGGTGTCGTGGTGAGAAGTATGTGGACCCCAGTCCGGGCCCATAACCTCCCTGCAGCTGGAGAGATGAGACGAAAGTTATTTCAGCCTTCGGAAGAAGCATGATACAGAGAGGGTACTGACTACGCATCGCTGGCTTCTGCATCCAGTCTAAGCGCAAAACTTAGGCCCTTGGCGGCTGGAAGTTCCCAATCGATGAGGAATTCGATGGCACGTTGCGACGCAAATATGACGTCTACGTGACTAGTAATCGCAATGTCAGAATGGAACCCGGAAGCAGGGAGAGAATCAATCTCACTCTTCCATACAGGTAGGCCTCCGATTGAGGATCCCATAGACCAACTCGAAGAATTTGAATCTGAACTGAGAGAGATCGCCAGGCATTGGAAGTAGCGATGGGTACTTGTCGTTCGTCTGGTCTGCCTTCCATTTTGCAATGACCGCGTTGTACTTGTCATCCGCGGTGGCCAGGTTGTAGTCGCGGGAGTTCTGCATGCCGGTGCAGCCATTGTTCATACGCTTATGGAAGTTCTGAACAATCTTGACCAAGTCATCCCTGGGGATTTGATTTATAGGAAGGTGATACCACTGTCGCTTGCCAGATTGCATGTTGGTGTGGAAGAGGGGTGTGTCGGCAGTGAATGTTGGCGAGGCCGCGAGAGGCCTCGTGATATATAGGGCGTGCTCACGTGCTCCCGCCGCCACACCGATTTGTCACTTCAAGTAAGGTGTTGTTTGTTCATTTGTTCAAACTTCAACGACAGCATATGATGCCTTTGGACAATCACGAAATTATTGTCTGCCCTACCTGGGTGTTTCTACTATTGAAGCTGTCCCCTTGTTGTCAGCGCCCGATACACATATTACTTGGCCAGCTTATCTTGGTTCATCATATCACCAAGCCGCGTGGTTGTGATCAGTGGTGTTGGTCCCGGTAGACACCAATGGAGCATCCACCACAATCAACTATGCGCTAAGCATTTCTTTTGCTTGTGCTGCCAAGACTAGTTCTTCCCCAGCTTCAGTCAACGCGTAAGAGACTGAAATATTGTTGTTTGTCCAGTTTGTTCACATGAGGTTGCAGTGGAATCACTGCATTACTTCATCAGGCGATGATGACTCCCAGACTGACTCCGCATTCCATGTGGCATGCTGTCAGGTTGAACGTAATAGTCCTCTGGATCTTTTATTCCATGTTGGCTGTCACACGTTCTTCCGACGCATTTGGTATCCTCTCGCGTTTGAGAACGGACCAATCGATCTGCTGCTCGAGGACAATAAGTTCAGGATGCTCATTATGACCATGTGAGTCATCGGACTGCTTATCCTTTGTGCCGTTCCGCAGAGTCGACTGGCTGCTCAGTGCTATAAATCCAATCGTGTTTCAACCCTGACCGACCCCATAACGACACCCCCTTAACTCGAGCCTTACAGTTTACTTGGACCGTTATATACTGAATATTCATGGCTAACCCGGCTAATGGAATCCCCAACTTTACTGGTACACGCTATGCTTGAATTTCAGGTGCAGGCAGAAGGCACTGACAGCCTTTCATTATCTGCATCGACGTAGCTGTCCACATGCCCTTTCCCCTACAACTTGCCGGCAACAATATTGCTCTTCGAAGGGTTGGTTTGAGTTACGACTTGCACACCAGACCGATCGAGGATGATCTTCCTGGTGGATGGCATTGTTATCGATGTATGTTAATCTGCACTGTTTCCATCCTTTCAAAGGAAGAGGCTAAGCCAACTGCTTTCAGCAACTATCTACCGGCGTATAAACAAGGTCTTGAAGGATCTCGGTTTCAGCTCCCCGCAGTACTCCGTCTGGCAGCGCAACACCTCATTGGCTGTTGCGTGGTTTGCCGCAATGAGGCTACGCAATATTGAACCACGGGGAATTTTTGCTACGTGCTTACGAGGCGTCCAAATACACGTTGTCGAGAATCCTGCCTTGTTTGTTTTGACGCATACTATGCTTCTGGGTGGCCCGGCGTCTCCTCAGCTGCTGGGCCCCACTCCCCTTGGGCTGGTAGGACTCGCGCCGATGGTATTCGGACAATCTCAGCTGCCTCCCGCTAACCTGTGGGCACGGTACTGGCACCGGTTGCAAAATCGTGGCGTTAGATATTCTCCCGCTGCCTCGAACAGCAACAACTGGCGCATCCGATAGTAACCAATTATCCAGACATCAATCAAATTGATAGAAGTGTAGGGCAGATGTAACACACTGTTGCGACCGTGTAATGTGTCCAGGAACGTCAGGAATCAGAACACAAAACTTCTTTGGCAGATTGTTGAAAAGCCCCAACGCCCATTATCTGTAAATGTAGAGCACTTGGCCGCGGCTATTGTCGTGTATTGAACAAAGGTGCTGACCGTCAAGGACTTGTTCTGGTAGCGCGACAACCAGGATGCAGCTGGTGACACTCGTTTTATCCTTGATCGGCAGCTCTACGTATAGCAAAAATATATAGACAACGAACATGGGCAATACAGGGCACTCGAACATGCGGCACCAGGGCATAAAACACCCATAGGAACTCAAAGCGAACGATGCCAAATCCTGTGAGCAATAGCCTGAGCTCATCCAAGGGTTGCACTTCTTCCCCGAGCCATCCGCGGCACGATTCCCGCAGTCTTGTGTTGCGTCAGCGGCGACCAGAGTTACAACCAGAGTTACAACCATGTCCGGCATCGTCTTTAGATGGCTCAAAAGCGCAGGGGGGACGCGGTTTTTTACGCAAACATATAACACACCTTGTCAGAAAGCCGTCCTCGTCTTCTGCCACGGATTCATCGAGCACATAGAACGCTACCAAGCAGGTTTTCTTCCACCGTGTCTTGCTCCTCATAATTCTTCAACTAATCTAACCTCTGAGTCCGGGACGAGTGTCATACGAAACCCGGTAACGATCGGTACTGGATCGTGGCCCAGAAGGACTGCCACATACTCAGGGCATGTCCGACTGCACATTGGAGTTCGATATTCAGTACGTGGACCCGAAGGTCGTCGAGTACCTTCTTACTTCAGTACGTAAGTCAACCTTACGCGCTCAACGTCATCGTCGTCTCCGAACAGTTCTATCACATCCGGAGCGACTACTGGTTCAACCTCGTGCTGGTGCTCGCGACGCAGTTGACCGGTTTGGGGCTGGCGGGGTTGTGCAGGAGGTTCCTTGTCTGGCCAGCGAGCATGGTGTGGCCTGCAAACCTGGTAGCGTGCACGTTGTTGAACACGCTGCACGCGGAAGACGACGAGGCGACTGGCGGGCTCACGAGGTACAAGTACTTCATGTGGGTCATGACCGGGAGTTTCTTCTTCTTCTTCCTGCCAGGTAACGGAATTCATGCCTTTGGCTCGTGGCGGGGAAGCTCACTTTTTTCCTTTCCCTCGTAGGCTTCCTGTTCCAAGCGCTCTCCGTCTTCAGCTGGGTATGCTGGATTTGGCCCAATAACGTGCCCGTGAACCAGCTCTTCGGCGTCTCGTCCGGGCTCGGCATGTCATTCCTCACCTTCGACTGGACGCAGATCTCCTGGATCGGCTCGCCGCTCATGGTCCCTTGGTGGGCGGAGGTGCACATCTTCGGCGGCTTCGTGTTCTTCTACTGGTTCCTCGCCCCGATCTTCTACTACACCAACGTATGGAAGTTGTCCTACTTCCCTATCTCCGCCAACGACCCGTACGACCGCTTCGGGAATACGTACAACGTCACGCGTGTGCTCCAGACGGACGACACCTTCAATCGGACCGCGTACGACGAGTACTCGCCGCTTTACCTTCCGGCCTCTTACGCGATCACCTACCTCGCCGCGTTTGCGCTCATGACGTGCGTCATCGTGCACACGTTGCTCTACCACGGCCATTCGCTCCTCAACGGCGTCAAGCGCATCTCGGTCGAGAAGGACGACATCCACGCGAAGCTCATGCGCAATTACCCGGAGGTGCCCGACTGGTGGTACGGCGCCGCGTTTGTGTTTTTCTTCGCGCTCGCGGTCGTCGCCGTCGAGGTCTGGCATACGAGCGTGCCCGTGTGGAGTTTGGTGCTGGCGGTGCTGTTACCCGTGGTCTACGTGCTCCCGAGTGGATTCATCTTCGCGATGACCGGTCAAGGCATCACGCTCAATCTGCTGGCGCAGATCATCCCGGGCACGCTGCTCCCCGGGAACCCGCGTGCGAACATGGTTGGTATCCTTTGACGCTTTCGCTTCGCTGGGAGTTTGCATTCTGACAAGCGGGTTTCACAGATCTTCAAGGCCTACTCGGTCCAGACGCTGAACGAGGCGACCGACTTCGTCCAGGACCTCAAGCTCGGACACTACGTCAAGGTCCCTCCGCGAGCGACTTTCATAGTCCAGCTCGTCGCGACCGTCCTCGCCGCCTTCGTCCAGGTCGGCGTGAAGGAATGGCTCTTCACGAACGTGCCCGACATCTGCTCGCCGGATCAGGCTTCGTCCCTCACCTGCCCGCACAACAAGGTGTACTTCACCGCGTCCGCCATCTGGGGACTCATCGGCCCTTCGCGCCAGTTCGGCCCGGGCTCGATCTACTACCCCCAGATTTACGCCGTCATCATCGGCGCGTTCCTTCCCGTGCCCTTCTGGCTGTGGCAGCGCCGGTACCCGACGAGCTGGGTGAGGTATTTGTCGACGCCCGTGATCCTCAACGGCTTGCTGTTCATACCCCCCGCGACGGGCATCAACTACTCGGCGTGGTTCGCGATGGGCCTCGTGTTCCAGTATCTGATCAGGAAGAGGAATTTCGCGTGGTGGAGCAAGTTCAACTACGTGACGAGCGCGGCGCTGGACAAGCGGGACGAGCATCAGTTTGATCTTGATCTTCTTC